TCCAGAGGGTGCTGTTCCAGCTTATCTACTAGATCGTGAGGGACAATCAAGAGCCAAAGTTTTATCGAATATGATTAAACAAAAAAGGAAAGAAAAGGCTGGTAAATGGGACGTACCAATACCAAAAGTTAGGGGTGTCGGTGAAAATGAAGTCTTTAAAGTTATAAGAACAGGAAAGAGAAGTAGTAAGTACTGTAATGTATTGGAAATCTACTGAAGTAGTACTACTATAGTCTGAGCATGACCGACTGAGAATAGTCAGTGTGTGGTTTGAACCCTCGACGAGGTTCGCAACTTGAATTGAAATCGCTGCGCCAAACTGCCTTCCCCTTCCTTGGTTAACATCAGCATTTGTTTGCTTAGATTTGAAGAGTATTGTTTTCTTGTTTTATATTAAAGTGTTCTATATGTATAGTGTGCTAAGCATATATTTTGAATAAAATATAAGCTTTTACTCATTCCTAACTGAAATCCCAATATTTGTTGAATACACTATTGGTGATTTCATATTTTGCTTGGACATAGTTGGATTGGTTGGATTTATTCTGTGTAAACACTAAAGATAGCCCACGAAAGTCTAGAAGACGACTACCGCATTCTTTAACATGCACATGGGCCATAAATGCACACAAGACCAACGGCCTAAATGTCTCATCCGAAAGACGGTGTACTAACTTTTATTTCGGCCCTCCAGCTAAAACACAAGGAGAGGCAGCGATAGGAATTGAACCAGGGACTTAGAGGTCTCCACAGTTCAGCGCACACACAGTGGCTACCACCAGATTAGACAACTGAGCTAAGCTGCTCTTTAAGGAATAAAGAATATGATATTATATTAAATATTATAAATAGTGGACACTAGTCCAGATGCTGGACAGGTGATTTTACATTGCAAACATTATTCAACACATGATGCTATTTCTTGTCTATTTCACCACCAGAAAAAGCATGGAAAAGAATGGTTACCAAAGTTACATATGTTGGAGAAGGGTTTACAAGAAAACCTCCAAAGTTTGAGAGATTTATCAGACCAATGGTAAGTAATACTGTAGATCACATTATGTCAGATCAGGTTATGTCAAATCAAGTTATATGAAATCAGATAATGTCAAATCAGATGGCATCAGATCAGATTATGACAAATCAGCTGATGTTAGGTTATGTCCTGGACGCCTATTTTTTTTCGGCAGTACACATAAGCATTATAGATTTCTTTTAGCCAATCAGAACATAGGAAGCCCACGATGACATAAAAACTAACCGCTCTCATCAAAGGGCAAAAGCTCTGATGAAAAATATTCGCGAGTCGAGCAAGTATTGACCAGTCCACAGAATTTAGTACATGTACAGTACTGTATGCATTGAAGACAACCGTATATTGAACCTCAAAGAGAACCTAATATTTATGACGAGTAACAAAAACATAATCATCGTCATTCATCATATTGCCAAACTACTACTAGGCAAGTGTGTAGTGGTCAGAGTCCATGCTGTGTAGAGTGGTCAGAGTCCTATGCCTAGAGTCTAGGCTTAGCTAATCTACTACTAACGTATCACGGTGGCCTAGGAGGACTAGGCCTACAGTAGTTCTTCTACTCTGGGCCTATTGTACTACGCAGGCTGTTGCTGTGTTCTGTTCTCGTGGACTACTATTGTGTGAGATTATCCTCATCGTTTAGTAGTACAGTACACATACAGTACATTGTAGAAGTGGTTGGCGCATCGATTGTGGCTTGGACTCCCAACCTTGAGGTCAGGGGTTTGAAACTCCCGCTGTGCAAGTCGCTTGTGTCCTTGGGCAAGGCACTTTAGCTACATTTGTCTCTCTCTACTCTGGAGTATAAATGGGTACCTGGTAGGATGTTGTGGCATTGAATGTTCTAGTTTCGTGCGCTAAAGAAGTAAAGAATGACTAGGGATACTCCCCAGGGAGCAGAGAAAGTTGCACTTTGTTCTGGATGCCATTGTACGTTATCCAGTGACCAGGGATAATAACGCTTGCGCCTTTTATCATTCAATTTGGAATTGGCGCCTTATAAATGTTTGAGTATTATTATTATTATTATTATTGATGAGCATGTGGCATGTGATTGATCAATCTTTTTTTTTTTTTTTTGGGGGAGCATCGGCATTCTTGCTCTCTTTCAAACTGGGTGTTTGGTCCTTTCATTTTTCCTCTTTAGGCTTTACCATTTATACCACATGATATTAGTTTACTCCATAGAGAATGTCGTCAACCAGGTCAAACGCTGTTTTGTAATCGATAAAAGCGCAAAACAACCGCTTATGTTTATTTAAGTATAATTCAATTATGAAGTGGAGTACAAATATTATCATTAGTGGAGTAACGTCCCTAAATCCTACTTGCTCTTCACCAACATTATATTTTATTGTTTCTACAATGGACATTTCCGGAGTGTCAATCAAGCTTACCAACTGACCAATTAGGGCCAGGAATACAAACGTGCCTTACAAATACGACATTTTTCAATAAACGCACATGTTTGCGTGTTTTTACGTTGTCGTTTTGTGGAACCTTAGCCACAAAATTTAAGTGCCGGAGCTAAGCATTCTAATCTGTGACATGTTATGTTTTGCAAAATAATTATATTTTCACGTTTATATTAAAACAAAATCACATTTTCAATTTACAAAATCTTCCATTAATTCTACATTAAAATACATTGCTAAAAATGAAATTATCCATTTATCACTTTAATGCATATATAAATAGTCATATATAAAAAAAGTATAAATAAATATAAGAGGGCATATGTATACTTTATATTTCCCACACAATTAGCAAGAAAATCTCAAATTACAGTGCTAATAAATTAGTTTACACCATCGCCAAGTAGTGAGAGAGGAAGAGCACAGTGAACAATAGATCTGATTATACAGTTTCCAGCACAAAATCTGCTCACAAAACTGTGTATAGATTTTATCCAGTCTTCATAGGATGAAGGGATGTTATTGAATAAATTCACAGGCTCCAACTTTAAATAAATATTAGTAGTTCTTTTTTAATGACCCAACGGTACTTATGACTAAGTATTGCTGATAGGACCTCACTAAATTAACTCATATAGGCATAGAGGAACCGTTTATGCAATATCTCCTAAATAACAAACATTAATATCTGCGGAACACTTGGAAATGTCCTACATAAAGCGTTAGCTCTGACACAGAAAGCCCTATACTTTTGCTTAATACCAAAATCATCCAATAAATTACAAATTAAAAACATGAACCACTCTATGGGTTTTAAACGAATTTGTACTAACATTACTACACACATTATTTTCAATTAGGCAAGACTTCATCGCTTTTGAAGAATGATGATTGTTGCAACAAATACAAAGCACGCATAATCTAATAAATTTAATAAACTGTTATATAGTATAAAGATAACTTAATATAGGCCAAATCAATAAAACCATAAAACCATTGGACTGAACTTTTACCTCACTACCCCATTACCTCAAACCCATAGACACCTGTTGAATGTCTCCTTAATTATTATATGAAGTCTTTGACAGGACAATAGCCAATTCATGACAAAAAGCCCAAGTGGTCAACTCCTTACATTTGATTTATAAAATAAGCTCGATTGAGAGACAGCTCGTTACTAAATATAAGTTAAGTTTTACCCCCCAAAGTTGTTATATTATCTGACCAATAGAAACTCCCCAAAATGATGTAATAGTCAAATGATTAGGATAAGGTGATATCTTTCAACCAATCAGAGAATTCCACCACACCCCAAGCTTTTATGAAAAGTAAAGTATTGGTTATCTAGAGAAGACTTCCTTCTGATACCAGAGGAGATGTAGTCAGTTCAGTTATTAAAAGTAAACCATCTCGCTTGTCATATCACTACAATATTACATAGTGAAGATCCAGTCTTTGCATCCAGAACATACATTGGAATCGGGCACAACAACTTGAGCATTACATGTATATAATATTACAAAACATTTCTGGAATGATCAAACTTAGCAACTGACCAATCAGGACAGGACAGGTATGCGTACATCCATTAACACACGTACGTTTAAATCTTTCAAATCCTAGCAACAATATCCAAGGTGGGGCATAGTGGAAAGGCCAATTTTAACCAAACTGAAAGGCAACAAAATGGTCATTGTTAGTGCAGGTATAAATGTGGCATTCCCCATCGTATTCAAAATAATTGTTTTCTAGCGCCCTCATACACTACACAGCGCATCTAATGCAACTTCTTGTCGAGTTTTTAGGCTAACCATATGATTCTGTAGTTGATAGCAGTGTATTGTAAAACAACCTTCTGGTAACAGCCTACAGTATAGTAACCAGTGCTGTTAATAACCCACCCTGTAACTAGTAACTCACTGCTATTAATAAATCACCCTACAAATAGTAAGCTAGTGCCTTTAATTAATAACCCAACCTATGAATTGTAACCCCCTAATTTCCCACCCTACTATTACTAACATATGAAAGCTTTCATTTCGTCCTTCTGCGAGACAAATGTAGAGCAGAGTGAGGCTCCTGATTAATTATTTATGAGTATGTGTGGCATCATCGTGGGCTTCCTTTGATCTGATTGGCTATTAGAAATTGATATTGCTTATGTGTACTGCAGAAAAAAATATGCTGCTCCTTCTATATAATTTTGTATCATATCCTTTATTGCATCAATTCAGTACAAACTGTGTAACCAAGGTATAGCTGGTGCTAGTCATGCTTGGCACCTGAATTAATTATTTATATATGTATATTTTTTTAATGTGCTGTTTTGACTTTTTAAAGTTATTGTATTCTTCCTGTGTATTCATTGTAAGGGCAGTAAACTTGACTAGAGAAATATATATATTTTGTAACCTCATATTGCCAATTTTTGAATTATCAAGTTTTTTTTTCAATAAAATGTTTGAATAATAATGATGTGTGTATTTTTAACTGTAATATAACCTTTTTAAGGCACTGCGTTTCAAGAAGGCTCATGTGACACATCCCGAGTTAAAGGCAACATTTCATCTTCCAATAATTGGTGTTAAGAAGAATCCCACATCACCTATGTACACGTCACTCGGAGTTATCACCAAGGGAACTGTTATAGAGGTACTGTGTTTTCATATTTGATATATGTGTCTGGGAATAAGTGTGGGTAATGTTACAACCTACAGCAGTTTCAGATCAACCTATCTTTCAAGCGGTCACGATTTTGTTATATGCCTTTTTTAAAGGCAAGAATTATCCCGACAAAAAAATGACCTCACCTAATGAGTCATTTGGGATTAATGCGAGCAAGGTGAGTACAGAAAACCACCAGATGATCCCTGATTGCATAGCAGGTACGAATTCCCAGAAAAGTATATACAGTGGATTTGATATACAGTAGACTAATTTGAGTGGTTTTTATAATCATTTACAATATCTCTATCTGGAGACATAGGTAAGCTCAGTCAGGGAGCCGCCACCAGGATCAAGCATCTTAAAGCCCTGAAAAAAATCCAGTAGTTCTGAGGTACTAGAAGATTAATTATTAAGTTCTCTTATAATACTTTACAGCTGAACGAGTAATTACAACACATGTAGCAATGGATGGCTTCTGACCATGGAGGAGGCAGGAATTTGCTGAACAAATAGTTCAACAAACTTTAAAAAAGCAATTGTAAATATTGATATTGTTTTACAAATAGGTTTTCCAAAAAGTGTATTTGTAGTGCCCCATACCATGGCATGAAGCCTATGTGAATACCTGGTAACCGAGTGTGTACTATTCAAAAATTCAGTTCAAAGTAATTTTCAGTTTTACGCTGCCTCAGCTTTATAGTCAAATCAATCAATCTTCAGAAAAATTTATAATGAACACAGAACTAATTGCAACAGATAAATTTTGCGGAATCTGTTCCTGAAATATAAACATAATAACATATTAAAAGTCTGAAAAAATCTAATCAGGGGAACATTGTTAATGTTAAAGCTATTCAATGAGTTAACATAAAAGGGTTTATTGCAAAACTGCTGTGTTGAAGCGTATAAAAGCCTGTTGTTGCCAAGTTGTTATTAATGGAAAAAATTTTAATAATAAGATAGATGCTTTCGCGCAATCTAAAGGCAGGTTTGTCCCGTCATGGGGATCTGTTGCCGAGTGATGGCCTTTTCAATAATACCTCCATGATCCAACTAAAACTGATTATATTATCTTTGGTAAACAGTTTCTAATGACCCTGTCACACCTTGACTTTTTAGCCAGCGTATGCCGACGTATCAACATTTTCGAAAACACTGGCATACGCTGAACTATCAACGTTTATTTTAAATTTTTGGGCACATAGATAGCATATTCATAACGAGTTGAACTTGTACACAACGTATTAGTAACTTTTATAGAACGTTTTGATAACTTATAGATAACTTATACCAAAAAATGCTTAGCGTGTTGCTGGGGTTCACAACTTATGCGCAGCGCGTGGCGGTGTATCACCGACGATCATCTAATGTAGCATGTAGGAAGGCTGCCGTACGTCGATTGAAATCATAACTGCACTAGACATCACAGTATCGACATCACCATCACAGTATCAACATCACCGTATCAACATCACTCCATTTTTATATACCAGATTCCCCTAAATGCTACCAATATGCCATTATACGGTAGCTGCAGCCGTTTTAATGGTCAGGATAGAAAATAAAATAAGAAATAGATAAGTGATTGCAACTTAAAGCCCCATTCCCGGCAAAATTTCAGTTGTTAAGACAAATCTGATTTTGATATATGTTATAAAGATTTTAAATAAAATTGGTCCTAATTTGAGTGCGCTTGAAATGCCAAACCTATGTAAAAATATAGTATTAACAAATTTACCAAAGTTCTACACCAAGGTCGTAATGGCATGGTACTCCATCGGTGGTGGTAGAACAAAGTATCCAACTTTTACAAAGGATATAAAAGAACAAATCATATGGGGTAATCCTTATATTAAAATTAATGATAAGTCACTATACTTCAAATAGTGGATAAACGCTGGTATTATTAAACTAAGATTTATTAATAGACTCTGAAAACACAATCAAAGCAAGATTATGTAATAAAAGAAATTGGATTGCACAATATTTTCAAATAAAAAAGGCCATTCCTAAAATTTGGCTGAACACATTGAAAAGTGACAAACATAAAGTAAGTAGTAAGGAGACACATGCTGAACCCAGTATTTATATAGAGGAATCAAACAAATACATAAATATAGAAAAAATTTTAAGATTAAACGAGAACTTACCTGTTTAAAGTTTGATCGTAATTTCATGAAGTAATTTTAGTGGAAGAGATTATATGCCCACCCTTAAAACTAAATCAGCGCACTACTCCGTTGAGCTGGCTTTTACAGTAGTGTATTTTCTGTCTCTTATACACATCTAGATGTGTATAATTCGAAAAATGAATCCAAAATCTGAGTATTTTTCAGTTTTACGCTGACTTAGCTTTATAGTCGAACCAGTCAATCTTTAGACAAAATTATAATGAACACAGAAGTAATTTTAACATAAATATTTTACTGAATCCGTTCCTGAAATATACAAATAATAACATACCAAAAGCCCGAAAAAATCTAATCAGGGGAACATTGTTCATTATAAAGATATTCAATGGGTTAAAATCAAACGTTTTATTGCACAACTGTCTGCTGGAAGCGTATTATAAATGCATGTCGTTGCCAAGTTGTTGCTAACGAAAAAATGTGAATTATAGGGTAATACGCCCGCGCGCGATGCAAAAGCGGGGAACACATAGGTTTGTCGCGTCAAAGGGATCTGTTGCCGAGTGATCTCCTTCTCAATAATACCTCCATGATATACCTAGCTAACGTGTCTTTAGACACTTCTCTGTGAGGTTTCTTATAACATAAAAAGAGTTTTTGTTTCCCCACCCTAAATTCTTTCGTTACATTGACATACTCCTTAATAGTTTTAACAGAGCAAACTGCTGGGTCCTCGAAATTCGCGACCAAATCAATACTATGCCCATAACAAGTTGGTCTAGATATCTTAAGTAAGTCTGAAATCAAAAATTTTATTCCATTTTCTGTCACTGTCATATTATCTATTGACAACTTATGAATCATTTGTATTCTACTCGCAGTTAATAGGGAAATTAAGGTTACAGTTTTCTTTGTCAACTGCTTAAGTGTTAATCGGTCCCCATCTTGATTCCGCAAGTAATCTAATAGTGTTTCTACGTTCCAAGTTTGTGCATACCTTGGCTGGGGTGGTTTTATGTTAAATACTCCTCTCATAAACCTTCTGACTGTAGGATGATTCCCAATGTTTTGTCCATTCCTCAACCTGAGAAATAAAGATAAGGCACTCCCAGCCGTATTTACTGTGGAATAACTTTGTGAATTTTCATACTCGCTAGTTAGAAACCGAAGTACGTCTGCAAGTTCAGGTTCCAGGTTCCCCTCTGAAAATATATACCATTTTCTTAATATGTGTAAGATATTGCTTTTTTGTAGAATTCCTCCATGACTTGCTAATTATTGACACTGTGGTTTCTGGGACATCTTTGAGCTGAAACGTTTTCCGGACAATCTACAAGCAAGGAGAAATAGTTTGTCATGCAATGGGTGGACTCTACTTATTCCAGGCAGTAACAAAGTGTTTTGAGACTTAGGGATGTGTATCGGTGTTTTAATAAGCAATTGCTTCATCATTGCAAACCAAGGTTGTGTAGGCCATTTTGGCACAATCACTATCCCCTCTGCTTCATCCTCAATAATTTTCTTGAGGCATTTACCTATGACAGAAAAGGAAGGGAAAGCGTAGAAATAGAATTTTCCCCAATCTATGGAAAATGCATCCGAGTCTATAGAGCCCGGGTCAGGGAACCAGGAAATGTACTTAGGCAGTTGTTTGTTCAAACGGGTTGCAAAGAGGTCAACCTGTGGTTTGCCAAATGTTCCAAATATATCCATGACAATCTCTGGGTTTAATTGCCATTCCAATTCCTCATCAAACTTTCTGGATTTTCTATCCGCTATGATATTATCTTTCCCAGACAGATGAACTGCTGACAACCACAAATTTTTGGTTATTGCCCATTCCCACATTTCCTTTGCTAGCTTGTCACACCATTTAGATTTTGTACCCCCCATGTTGTTAATGTACGTTTTTGCTGTTACGTTATCTAATTTCAGCCTTATGTGAGAGTTATTAATATTCTTGCAAAATGCATGTAAATTCTAGGGCTTAATTTTACTGTCATTTCCACAGAATCTAATATGAAACCCAAAAATTCAATTTCTTGTTTGGGAATTACAATGGTTTTTTCGGGGTGGATAATTAATCCTAACCTCTGAAACAATTAGATGGTGATTTGAATATCCCTTGTAGCTTGCTCACATGAATTTGCCATGAGCAAGTTATCATCAGTATATGCTAATATTATAATGCCTTGATTTCTTAGTACTGATAGCGGGACTTTCATCAATTTTGTAAATAATCTGGGCCCTGGCGCTAAACCATTTGGTAGTACAGTGAATTGCCACAGTGTTCCTTCCCATATAAACTTTAAGTGTTTTGAGTGTTGCAAAGCCATAGGGATTGAATAGTATGCATCTCTAAGATCTATAGATGTGAAGTAACAGTTTTTTGTTACTAAGGTAATAGCATTTTCAATTGAATCCATTTTAAAATGGTTGTATTGAATGTGCTTGTTCAGATCCGATAGATCCAAGATCATTCTCAGACCGCCATCCCTTTTTTGCCTAGTGAATATGTTCGATATAAATTCTCCATATTCATGGCAACTCAAATTAATCACTCCTTTTTTATTAAGTTTCCTTATCTCCCCATCTACAGACTCTATCTGTAGCCTGGATAATCTGTAAGGGTAGGGTATTCTAGTTTGTCTGGGTTTGACACCATTGACAAATTCAATACATATTCCTGATACAATAGATAGTATATTTTGATCATTTGTTAACTTCTGCCATTCCTGAAAGAAATATTTTATACGGCCCCCGATACATTTTTTGTGATCAATCGTACTAACCTGTGGTAGGTCTATTTCTTGTCTGTCTTCTTCCATATTACGCTCGTAACTGGAGGCCCACACC